ATAAACATGCTCTACTCATATGGAAAGTAAAGAGGTGCCTTGTGTACTAGAACCCATATTTATCTAACTTTCTATGATCACATGAGTCTACTCCAAGTAAATAAGACTTTCAAAGCACTCTGTTTCACAGAATGGTAGCAGGGCTTTTTTTTTTTTCCCTCCAGCTAAACTTTTCAAAGTTTAGAAAAGTTTTAAATGGTTTTAGAAAAGGCAGAGGAACCAGAGATCAAATTGCCAACATTCACTGGATCATCAAAAAAGCAAGAGAGTTCAAAAAAAACCCATCTATTTCTGCTTTATTGACTATGCCAAAGTCTTTGACTGTGTGGATCACAATAAACTGTGGAAAATCCTGAAAGAGATGGGAATACCAGACCACCTGACTTGCCTCTTGAGAAACCTGTATGCAGGTCAGGAAGCAACAGTCAGAATTGGACATGGAACAACAGACTGGTTCCAAACAGGAAAAGGAGTACGTCAAGGCTGTATACTGTCACCCTGCTTATTTAACTTATATGCAGGGTACATCATGAGAAACGCTGGGCTGGAGGAAGCACAAGCTGGAATCAAAACTGCCAGAAGAAATATCAATAAACCTCAGATACGCAGATGACACCACCCTTATGGCAAAAAGTGAAGAAGAACTAAAGAGCCTCTTGATGAAAGTGAAAGAGGAGAGTGAAAAAGTTGGCTTATAGCTCAACATTCAGAAAACTAAGATCATGGCATCTGGTCCCATCACTTCATGGCAAATAGATGGGGAAACAGTGGAAACAGTGGCTGACTTTATTTTTAGGGGCTCCAAAATCACTCAGATGGTGATTGCAGTCGTGAAATTAAAAGATGCTTACTCCTTGGAAGGAAAGTTATGACCAACTTAGGCAGCATATTGAAAAGCAGAGACATTACTTTGTCAACAAAGGTCCGTCTAGTCAAGGCTATGGTTTTTCCAGTAGTCATGTATGGATGTGAGAGTTGGACTATAAAGAAAGCAGAGTGCCGAAGAATTGATGCTTTTGAACTGTAGTGTTGGAGAAGACTCTTGAGAATCCCTTGGACTGCAAGGAGATCCAACCAGTCCATCCTAAAGGAAATCAGTCCTGGGTGGTCACTGGAAGGACTGATGTTGAAGCTGAAACTCCAATACTTTGGCCACCTGATGCAAAGAGCTGTCTCACTTAAAAGACCCTGATGTTGGGAAAGATTGAGGGCAGGAGGAGAAGGGGACGACAAAGGATGAGATGGCTGGATGGCATCACCGACTCGATGGACATGAGTTTGAGTAAACTTCGGGAGTTGGTGATGGACAGGGAGGCCTGTTGTGCCTGTTCATGGGGTCGCAAAGAGTCGGACATGACTGAGTGACTGAACTGAACTGAACCCTTTCAAACACTCCCTCAGTGTTGTATCTTGCTAGTGAACTTGGGTAAACTGCTTTACTTCTGAGTCTTTTTCCTTCAGTGAAACTGGGCTAATAACACCTGAAACCCAGGTTGGTTATAGGAATTTAATGAGATTATGCAATGGCATAGAAGTGTGGCAAGTGGTTTTGTTCCCTTGTCCATTTTTTCCCCCTTCAGTTGCTTTACTAATATGATTCTGAGACAAGGAAAATGCACTGCAACTAATTCCCACTCAGAAACACAGAATATTTTTATGCTAGAAATGATATAAAGATCATTGAGTTCAATATCCTCATTTTACAGATGAGAAATCTAAGATCCCAAAAGTGATGCCCCAGGTCACAAAGCTAGTTAGTATGACAGTTGAGACCAAAAAGAATGTCTTCTAAATCCCACGTTAAACCATTTGATATTAAATCACACTAATTTGGGTAGATTTTTTTTCTGTTTGCATATTTCATTTTAAAATTAATGACTACAAACGTCTATAATTTGCAAAATTACACATACTCGTTGTAAACTTTAAAGCAACAATTTAAATTGCTTTAATATTACTGAATGTCTTAAATTTATTTATTTATAGATAAATATATGAGAGTTCATTAATATTAGCAAAGATTTGTTTTACATTTTTAAAAATATTTTCAAGCTATTAAATAACTTTGACAGGCAGACAGAGAACAGACTGGTGAACACAGAAGGAAAAGGTGAGGATGGGATGATTAGAGAGGGTAGCACTGAACTGCACACATTACCATATGCAAAACAGAGCGCTAGTGGGAAGTTGCCACGTGACATACGGAGCTCAACCTGGTGCTCTGTGACAACCTGGGGCGGGTGCGGGGCGGGGGTGGGAGGTTCAAGAGAGAGGGGATATATGTATACTTATGCCTGATTCATGCTGTTATATGGCAGACACCAACACAACACTGTAAAGCAGTTATCCCCCAATTTAAAAAAAGGCAAAAAAGGAAACTGTAAAGCACGTAAACTGAAAAATAAATATCTTTGACAAACAGTAGTTGCATTTTTTTTAACTGGAGCACAAATGACCAATTTAGAATTATATAAACCATTCTTCTACCCTTTTGCTAAAAATGATTTACAACACTAATCCTAATGCTATTTTACTACAGTATCAATCAACTGGATTATATTTACATTTAAATGTTTTCTCAGTGAAGGCAGAAGTTAGTGTACAGTCTGATACTCATCTTCAGCACAGCCAGTTTCATAATGAATTTCCTATCAACAAGATAAATAATACCAGTACTAGACAAAGAAATGCCAATTTCAATTTACCTAATTCATAGTGACTATTTCTCAATATTGAGTATTTCAGAAGCTGAAAAAACTGAAAAGATAATTTAAATAACTTGGCAATATCACATACTATTAATAGGGCATAATACTAAGATTTATTTTATCCTGAAAGAGCAAAGAGAAAATTCAATGCTGCTTTATATTTTGGTCTACTCAACAGTTACTTTAATACTAAGTAATGAATTTTCCTAAATGGTCAAGCCATTAAATAAAATGACAATGCATTCACAAGAATTATGTTCTGTTTTTATTAACCAACTGTGAGCAAAAATAGAAGTTAGAGATAACAATAAATCAATTTTGAAAATCTGCATATTAAAAATAGACAATATTAGTTCATTTATAAGAAATGCAACCTTTACTGAGCCTACCAGCATTTCTGTTTCCTGGGGTATCTGAACTTCTTGGGTAACTCCCATCAAGTTACTTACTCTCTGGTTTGGATTTCAGCTTTACTAACATTCGTCTGTAAGGTGTTCCACATAATTGAATCTTCTAAATAATTTATAATATATCCCATTATGCAACAAAATTTACAATTTTAACCATTTCATAGGCCTTTGTCTAAAATTCAGTCACAGTATGCACATGAACAGTACTGCACAACGGTACTGCGGGGCTTGGATCTCCTGTTTCCTCACCCCTGCTGGCTGTCACTTACTGATGACTGTGTTCCCGAAGCTTCTGATGCTGAGGTGAGAACCTGAGAGTGTCTATCAAGGCTCCTGAGCATTAAAAACTGGGCTTTGTGGTATCTGGCTACTGAGTTATTTTTCTCTCCTTCTTTGCCTCCATTGCCAATTTTCAAATGACTGAAGTTACCATTAAAAAAAAAAAAGTCACAGCAAAACAGGCTGTTGGCACCAGAAAGGGAATTCTGAAGAGAGCTCCAGGTGCCGGAACAAGGGAGCAGAACTCCCCTTAGACAGCGGCAGTAGCTAATTTGTACAATGGGATCTCCATTCCTTTTTCCCTGGGAACAAGAATCAACCTGCCCATTCTGAACTTTTCCATCCCTTATATGGCATTTGTCTCTCCACAGATAATCTAGTAACAGTCTCTACACCACCTGCTCATTAAATGCAAAAACAGAAACAAAGGCAGAAACAACAGCAGTGTTGTCAAAATACACACAGGATACAAGAGTTAAATGCTTGTGACTAAATTATATGAAAATGATGTGTGCTTAGCATGTAATTATACACGACAAACATAAATAAAACTATGAATCTGAGTTTATGACTGTGGGGAGCCTAAAAAGAAGCAAGAATATACTGAGAAGAAGTAAGAATACAAAGATTTAATTTTGTCTGGCTATTGAAGAAGTTAACACAACAGGACTTCTGAAAAGCACTGGAATTCTCAAAATCATCAGAAAAATATATACACACCAGAATACATAAGTTAGAATTATAGAAAACTTAGATTTTGTTCTCTCTACATGCGAACTGAAGGAATCACAAAATTAACCAACCTTTTCCCCCCTTTCTTAATTAAGCGTTGATAACACAGGCCACAGCTTAAAAGAATAAATTCTGCCTGAATAAACTAATGACCTATATCTCTCTACCAAGGAAATTCTTATGACTCAAAGTTTCAGAGAAACTATTCTAAGCCATCAAAGATTAGCTGCCTATGAAATAAACAACATAACCCTTTGGCCGCAACAGACTCTCATGGCTCCGAAGTAATTTTATCAGGAAAATGGAAAAATGTGAGGTAGTCTTTGAGGAACTAATAAAAATTTATTTTTACATTCAATTTTCCGTACAAGGCATGAGGAAAAAACAAACAAAAAGACATCTAATAGATTAGCCCTACTGATCTACCTGGTTTGAATAAGTAACAAATACCACTTTACTAGTGCTACAAAAGTTACCTGATTTGTAGAAAACAATATATAAGAAAGTAAACAACAACAAAACATCAAGGGAAAAAAATAGAAAAAATAACCCTATACACCTTTTTTCCTTCACATAAAATCCACAGTTATCCAGTCAACATATCTACAGTATCCTGCAGCTAAGACTATATAATAGATTATTGAATTAAAACTTTTCAAAATGATACCTTGCTGGTGGCATTTGTACCCACATATTACTAAGGCAGAACCACTCCAATACCTGAAGGAGTCATAAAACAAAAGATGTATTCCTTACTCTTGACCTCAGATCAAATAAATTATTTTCTTTCCCTATTTATAAAATGAGGGAAAACTAAAAGACTATGAAAATTTATTACTGGTAAAATGCTTGTAATTTTCAGGCAAATGTTTCAGAAAAAGTCAAGTATGTGACCCCTACCTTGTTTTGATTCCAAACCTTCAGGTCGCTTGTTCTCTCTCAGGGATGAAGTAGAATCTACACAGCTGTCTTGTCTGAGGAATGAAAAGCAAATAAAAACAACTTTTTAAACAATATTCAAGGTCCTAGAATTAAGTTATACACTTGAAAAGACACAAGGAATCCTTCTCGGTCCCCAGGGTACCATTCAGTACACTCTGGAGACAGAAACATGTATGCAGGTGTCAGAACTAGCAGCTACAAACTACTACAATTTAAGTAGTATACTTTGTAAAATCAAAGAGCAAACCTGGAAAGAATACCAAGGTAATTTTTTCTCCTTTCCAATACTCTGCAGGGTAGCTAATGGGAGAAATCCTAACTCACAGAAGAATCCAGTAATTTTTCAAGTTCAACTGTTAAATTTAATGGGCACTTTGGCATTCAAATCATTTTACAGTCATCTAATTTCATACCTCAAATGCTTTGATGTTTACAATATGTGGGAAATACATATTTTATCTGTAATATATATATATATGTTATCAAAGTAAACTGATTATGTTTAAGATGCCACTAAAAAGTCCCTGATCCACTATGTTCTGCAAAAGAGCTCAACTAATACTTTTTCTTAGTACTGTACCATCTTTATACTGATGTTACAAATACTTTTCAGAAAGTCAAGAAATTAACTATTATGAATACTCAAAATGACTATTTTCTTTAAAATATGTGTCTATCACCTTCTGAGAATGTTTATACACACTCTAAGACTAACAAACTAAAAACATCTAGGAAAGTTACCTATTCACAAAACTTTATATTCACTTAATTATAAATTCCTCAAATAACTAAAGGATAAAGATGTGATTATTTCCTTGAGAAGTTTACAATTTTCTTTCCAGCCAACACATTTGGCTCTTTTAAGTTTGTTTTGTATTGAAATTTTACTAATACAAGTACAAACTCAAATAGAGATTATAAAAATATTTTAATCTGGTGTTAATTGTGACATTTTAGAAATTTAATATTGAGATATCTCAATTTTTTAAATTTCTTTTAGTCAAATGTTGATTTTATTCTTTCACCAGAATGACTAGCAGATCCCAAGGAGGATATCAACAAGACTCCCTGGCAGTCTAGGGAAAGAGTAAATGCCAATACACTACATTGAAAGCTTTGCAAAAATAAAGTTAAAATATGCCATCTCAAGCCTTATGTCAAATTAGATTTTATCTACTGGGAACCTTATTTCTAAGTATATTCCTTTAGAGAAAATGCTTGTTTGCTCTTAAAATTAAATGGCATTTATTTCTCTTCTAAACACATAAACCTAATTTTTAAAAAAAGACTTGAATAAAAACATAAAGTAACATCACCATTAAAAGGACCTTAGGTATCCACAAGACCTTAACAGACAGAACATGACTCATGTAAAATTACAGCTGAGAATGTATAACCTGTATAATGAGGAATCATCAGACAAAGCCAAAATGGGAATGAGTAATATTCTATTAAAAGTGGGGAGGGAAGTTAAAGTCAATGATATAAAAAACAAAGATAGGCTGTGGAAACATTCCAGGTTAAAGGAAGCTGAAAAGCAGTGACAATTAAATGTAACAACTGATGTGAGGTGCCTCAACTAAAGTGGAAGACCATTATAAAGGATATTATTGAGTCAAGAGACAAATGGAAATACTGATGGCAGATTCGACAAAACTATTTTATTGATGTTAAATTTACTAAAGCTGAATCTACTGAAGTTAACAATGTATTGTGGTTATATGAAAAAGAATATCACTATTCTTAGGAAAAATGCAATGTAGTATTTAGAGGTAAAATGTCATGATGTATGTTACTCAGCCTTAAATGTTTCACAAGGAAATACACAAGTATATAAACAGAGTATGTGCAACGGAATAAAATATTAATAACAGATAAATCTAGGTAAAGCATATATAAATATACTTCTTATATTATTATTCTTATTCCTGCAACATTTTAATAACTTAAGTTTTCCCAAGTAAAAATTAATAAAGAAATGAAATGAATTATTTTATGAATTATTTTAATTTTATTTTTTATTTTCTCTGTGAAAGTTCCTTGAATCACCTTCAGATAAAACTAGACCCCTCTATAAAGCTATCTGCTGTCATAAATAATTTCTTTTATTGCCCAAAGTGAACTTGTATAATGTTCCTTTTTTCTTAAGTTGGATTTGATCTGGCTGTTGAAGTCACCAAAAATAAAAAAAAAAAAAAAAACTGCAGACAGTAGAGGCAGTACACCGCCTTGTGGCCGAAAAGTGAAAAGCTAGATGCTTTTACATCAGTATCATCTGAAGCCGAAAAAAATTCCAGACACAGATTTACAACTAAAACTACCATATACATTCAGAGTTCTGTAATACAATTTAAAGATTTTCACTAAAGAATATAAAAGGCAAAATAGAATCAAAATAAGAAATGTCTTAAAGTATAAGAAAATTATGTGTACATACATCTTATTTCCAGCTTTAGGAAAATAAAAAATGTCACCCCCAGATGATAAAACATACTGTCAGAGGTAGGAAAACTAGAGGAATTCCAATTTATATTTAAATGACATTTAAATATTTCAAACACGTTAAAACCATGTCAGAATTTTGTAACAACTGGAGAAGAGATAAAGGAAGGAGGGAAAGAGAACATGGCTGGCTTGAGTTTAAGAATCTCGCAATGCTTTTTGTACTCTTTTTCATAAAGAAAAAAGAAAGAGAGTTTTAATTTTCCCAATTCTCTTCTACCATCTGCACTGCTCCTTAAAGCAGCTTAATTTACAGTCTTGACCCTGAATTATAAGAAAGCCCTAGGTCTATCCTTGGAATTTAAGTTCTCAAACCAACATCAGTCCACCTTCTTTCTTTAACCTCCAATACAGTTCTGGGCAGGATTCTTTCTTGTAACTCGAATGAGTTTGTTTTTAAATCAGAGTAATACACTGGGGAGATCTGCAGGACTTAACCAAAAAGAACCACACGTGTGAATTACTAAGGTTTATGTTTCTAAAAAAAAAAAAAAATCAATCTCCTGTCCAAAAGAAAAGTCCTGGGAAGAGACCTCAACAGAAGGATAAAAAGAAGAAAGAGAACTGCATCAGAAGGATTCTTCCCGTTCTGGCAAAAATCAGCTAACAATCAGGCAAACTAGCCTAGCGATAGGTATAACCCTTGGTTCTTTCTGCTATCCTGGGAGTAAAATAGAGGCTGAAGGAAGCCAGTCTACCAACTAAGGAGTTTTGTACTATTGAAAATGAGACACAGGCGGAAACTAGAGCATCCAAAACAATTTTGAAAAAGAATAACAAAGTTTAAGGATGCACACTATCACATTCAAGACTAAAAGGCTACAGTAATTAGGACAGTAATGGTATTAGAGAAAGGATAAACATCTAGATTAATGAAACACAAGAGAGTCCAGAAACAGATCTAACACATATATACATGGTCAATAGTTTAAAATAACATAAATGTATACCACAGCTCTGTAGGTCAGAAGTCTGGGCAGGGTCTCACTGCACTCAAATCAAAGTCCCTACAGACTGCCTTCCTTTCTGGAGGCTCTAGGGGAGAATTCACTCCTTGCTCATTTGGGCAGTCAGTTCCCTGATATGCGAGGACCAAAGTCCCTGCTGCCTGGCTGGTTGCCAGCTTCCAGTCACAAGGTCCCCTCAGGCACATCTCTTTGACCTACTCTTCTTTCCCTCTAAATTACTCAATGGGAAGATAACTGGGATAACCTGCATAATTCAGAATAATCTCCCCATCTCAAGTCCTTAACCTTAACCAAATCTGCAAAATCTCTTTGTCAGTATGCAAAAGTAAGACATTCACAGGTTCTAGAGACCAGAGAGTCATTTTGCTGCCTACTATATGGCCTCAGATGGAGAAAGGATAACAAAGTATGGTACATCCACACTGCAGAATACCAACTACTCATCAAGGAAAAGGAAGGAACTACTGATACAGCAACATAAGCAAATCTCAATTGCATTATGCTAAGTAAAAGAAGCCAGGCTCAAAAGGCTATATACTGTACTGATCTATATGACATTCTGGAAGAAGAAATAGCATAAGGACAAAAATCAGATCAGTGGTTGTCAAGGACTGGAGACAGGAGAACGACTGGACTACAATGAGCCATGGGGGGAATTTTGAGTGTGATGGAAGGGGTCTTACTGTGGCTGCAGTGGTCGATAAATTTGTCCAAACCCATATAACTATATAATTTTTTTTAATGAATTTTGTTCTAAATTACACTTTTAATATTTTTCAAATTACGGTACTGCCAAGTCTTAGAACAAGTTCACAAAAATGAAATCACATAGTGCTCAAATGTAACCCTCGAACACCATGGAATGGAGCAAAACTATTTTTCTCAAAGCGCCTTTTCCAAACAGCAAATTAATCCATACCTCTAATGTTTCCCTCAGCAAGGTCATTACTCAAGATAGCAAAATTCAACCCTTGTTTCCATTTCTGTTCCCCAAATAATGTAATTCTAAAAATCAGTTACCATACTCCAGTTTCTCTGATCCACGACTCTCTAAGAATTTGTTCTATAAATTGCCTCTCTACAATTACAAGTTTTTGTAAATAAGGCAATTCTCTAAATGGGGGTCTCTATTCTATACAAAAGTGACTAAAGGAAACAGAGGTTCTCCTCTTTTCTTCTATCCCTATACTCCTGCTTTCAAGACTTTTCCAGTTTTAAGTTGTATGAGATCACTTTGTAAGTGCTTCATTTAAAGGGGTACAAGTAGGATATGCAAACATTCTACTAACATTAAATTTGGAGTCCTATCCAAGTTTTAAGTCACAATATTGTCAATGATTAGTAGTATTTTCTGTGAAGGTTTTCTGAAAAATTTACCCTATTATTTCGATAGCCTGCCTAAAGATCACAGCCTAATAACAATTTAAAAGGATATAAGGACATAAGTAGGGTACAGGTAATCACTGCTCTTTAGAATACACACTGACTTTAAAATAACTGAGCATAATGATGGGTATAAAGAAAACAAAGACCTGGACTATACAAATAAATAAATAACTGAG